CCCCCCCCCCCCCCCCCCCCACTGTCACTATGCTTGTTAAAGGCCAATTTCAAGCTAATGCCTAGAGTCCCAGCCCTTCGAAGCCTGCAGGAGCTGTTCGAGGCAGCAGCGCATCCGAAGGAGCTCTTGGTGCTGAAAGGCTGAAATGTTTCATGTTGTGTGTCTGAAGTGTGTTTTTGTTTCTGCTCACGACTGTACTGTCTTTTGGAGCAGAACATGGTGTGGGCTTTGTGGTTGACCAATGAGCGGCTTTTGGTGATTGTGTCATAGCCCGGTTGTGGAAGTTGGGGGTTCAGACATCGCTGCGTCCGGCACTTCAAGTTTATCCCTTCGTGTTTCGCTTTTTCTGAGTCCTAATCATTGCTGCGGCACGCTATACCGTTTGTGCGTCTTCGGGCATTGATGGATGTAGGCATGTGCTTAGACATGCGAGCTCGTGCGGGGCTTTGCAACAGCGTCGCGCAGAATGTAAAGTTCAACAACATGATCTATCGCTTGCCTGTGCAGTATACGGGACGCCGTGGGCGTGATCATGTTTTTTTCTGTGTTTCTGTTTTCTGCTTATACCAGCTCGTAAAATTCCTAGCCTGCAGGAGAAACGTAGACAGTCAGATAAAATTGTAGGTTTTCGACATAGAGCGCAACTGGAATTCACGATCATGTCATCTTGCAGATGGAGACCATTTGCTGCGAGATCTGGCAGCACTGGCTTCAGGACTTAGGTGAATGCGTGGGGGCTTGATGCTTTGTGGCCGGAGTAGTGGGTAGTACATTGAAGACTCCCCATGCCTACCTAGCAGAGAAGTTGCAATCAGTGCAAAACCATTGACAGCCCGCCCTGCAGCTTCGGATTGTGCAAGGAAGCTCCAAGACAACCAGCAAAGCGGGCCGGGCCATTCTCGAATTCACTTCCAAGTACCCGAGAGGACCGGCTTGTGCTTGAACCAGAGAGTGCTTGTTTGTCCTTGTGAGTTGTGACGGTTTTCTTGATGCATGGGCATGGGCACGGGCCTGTTGTGCCAGCAAGCCGAACAGCAAAGACAATATATTGCCCGAGACGGTGCGCGCCAAAAACACCCTGAACCTATTATGCTAAAACAACCTCATGTTTTGCCCTTGACACCTTGCAACTGCAACACGCAGGAGATACTGCCGCCGAGCACTAAGAACTTCCCGGTGCTGGGCCATGCAGCCCAGTGACCATCCGATGCATCGCTCTGGAAGTGGTGCAGCATGGAGACATCATCGAGCGACCTGCCGACTGCCCACACTTCATCATGCACTTTACCCTCCAGGGCTCGCCCGATACAGACAGAGTTCGACTGAATGCTCCAGGAACCATGACAACGAGTTTGTCAAGAAAGACGCTCCTGAAAAAGCATTCGCGGACAGCCTTTCCACTACCTTCATCGGTGCGGCGATGTTTGGATCCAGTCCCTCCTGGATGTGAGACGAGGCCCTATCTCGCGGATATCTCTGCATCAGGTGTTGATTTGTGGCCTACTGAATCTCACAGCTTCTTCAGTTAGTGTTGACTGAAGATATGCTGCCTTCAGCCTGCTTCCTGGAAAAGCATTGCTAGCTATGCCTGACTGCTCCATATGCGACGAAGGGTCTCGCAAGTGTACGCTCCAAGGCTGGGTGAAGTGACGGCTCTCCAGATCTTGGCAGATGTTGCGGGCTGAAGGGTAACCGTTCACCGGAGAAATGCATGAATGCGTTTCCTTTCCTGATGTGTGTCTTTGCAAACCACGATCGTGATCCTCAGGTTCATGCACGAGGCATGAGATATGCTGAAGTCGTCAGCACCGTCGAGAAGGCTGGCAGGAAGATTTGAGGTTCGTCACTTTGCTGTCCATGAACGCTACCAAGTTTGGCAGTGGAGAACAAAGCGTACTCGTACCACGAATCAACCCAAAAGACCCTAGCCCCCCTACTCCAGTGTTGCGCACAGGCGATTCCCATCGCCGAGTCCCTGGGCGATTCGCTGACCTTGTCCAGCATGGGCCCCAGACCGGTAGCTTCACAGTCGTATCGCGACACGTGACTCTTCTCAAGCTCGTGGATCGGCTTCAACATGACCTAGAATAAAGGCACAATACGAATGAATCGCACCGTCATGCTACATTCGGAACAAAAGCTCTGTCAGCATAGCTGTGCTTACGGCATTGACATCGCCTGTTCAGACTCCTAGACTGCGTGTTTGTTTGTCCCAGTTTCGGAACGGCACTCAAGCTGCAACTCCAGCCCCCGAAGCTCACCGGGCCGTCTTGCTGAGTCAACTTTGTCTTGTATGGGCCCTGCTGTGAATTACTTTCTTTCTTCCATGTCAGCTCAAGGCCTTTAGTTCAGTAGGCTTCAGACTCATGGGATCCATGGCTTGCAATTTTATAGACCAAAATGTGACTAAAACAATTCAGCTTCAACGAGCCATCCAAAGGCCACAAGCTTCATCGTTTCAGCTCCAGGAAGCCAAACAGTGGTTCCCACCTTCTACCAGACATGCCGCAGACATAAGTCGCGTAGTCTCACTGGACCGGGTATTCGCAACGCGCAAAAAAGACCCCTAACCTCGCTGGCAGACGTGGCTGCTGGTCGACTCGTGGACTGTTCAGTCTGGCTTAGAACTAGCCGACGCAGCACATGGACCATGGATGATGGCAGCGACGATGATGTGGCCGTCAAGGCGGCAGAAGCCTTGGGCTTCTTGGCAGAACCTTTCTGCGCAGTCCCGTGCCGCAGTTGTATCTGGGGGCCACATGTCATCAAGACAGCCCTGTCAGGCCATGCAGGACAGCTTTTAAACAAAGCATGGTTCGAAGTCGAAGAAGAAGTCATGCCTTGTAAGAGCATTCGGCTGAAGGCTCCCTTGCCTCTTTTATGGAAGTGGCCGTGGACCCTCGCCGGCCCGATGCCAGCTCAGCGGATCCCCTGGAGCCCGGGGAGAAGGCAGGAGCACGCACGGTTTACCGCCACATGGGGATGCGCTACGAGTGTTCAAAGTTCGGCTCTGGAGTAGAGACTGAGACTCTGTGCGGAAGTGCACTTGCATGAAAAACTTTGGTAGGTGCATCTAGTTTGCATGCGTTTACAATGGTTGTTAGCGTCATGTACTTGTATCATAAGCAGCCCTGAATCCATCCTCTTCGTATGCCACGCCAACACTCAGGTGAGGATGTTGCGTGTTTTCCGCCTGTATGCCCACCTTCTTGCCTCCAGGTCAAGCAGTCCGGTGAGACCCGGGCGGTGTCCAAAGCATCTGTTAGGGACAGAGCGGGGCCAAGAGGGTACTTTGGATTTGCAGGGTTGACACTTCCGAGCCATCCAATTGGAGGCTGGGAGGGGCGGTGCAGGTCTATCAGTGAATACACGGGCGTACCTCGCAAAATGCTTGGATGCACATGTAAGTCTTAGAGGTCGATTGTTGTCAGGTTTTGCGACCCCAGGTCTACATTGTCTGCTAACTTTCACACAGAATGCCGAAGCAACGCAAATGGCCGTCGCAGTCCTGCTAGTGCGCCTGCGTGAATCCACCAGCATGACCAACATGCGTGCGGCGCCACAGGACCTGCGAACCAAGCTCGAGCAGAAGAAAGGGCGATCTGCCTCGGCCGAGCCAACGCCGGTCCTGTCGCCTGGCATCACGTTGGTGGCAATCCCAAAAGCCTGTGGTTGGAAAGCTAGGCAGCTAGACTCAGCTAGCAGCTAGACTCGCTGGACTCCCTGCCGGCGAGACTTTGAGGTCTGCCTCGGATGAGCTGAAGGCCAAGCTTCAGGCGGCAAAGGAGCGGATGGCCAGGGAGACTCTCGGCTCGGCTCAGCACATCGCATCGACGTGCCCATCTGGGATCAGGTCGCATCCCACGCGTGTGACTCTTAAATGCCCATCTCAGGAAGGAAGCTGGCAAGCGACCACTCTTGTCTCAGATCCTGTCCCCTGAGCCGAAAGCGCCGGCGGCACCAAGCTCGCCCCTAACACCCACCGGCAAGAAGAGCAAGAAGGAGCTCGTGGTGCGGCATCAGCTCTCTCTCTCTCTTGTTTTCGCTGGGTCCGGCAGACTCCCCCGAAGGACAAAAAGAAGGACAAAGACAAGGATAAGGATCGGAAAAAAGATAAAAAAGAAGAAGCAGTGCCTATCCGCCAGACCAAGGGCAGACCGATGCCGAAACAGCAGGCGGCTTGGCGTAGGTTAAGGAGTCAGCCCCCTGAAGACGAGCAGCAAGCTGGGATCCCTTGGTTTCGATGGAAAACTATCGCAGGTAGGTTAGCAAGTGAAGTGCGACCCTTAATCATAGAACAAATCGCTTGTGTCTGTCTCTGTGCATGCGTGCGTGCGTGCGCGTGCGTGTGTTTGCTCAAAAACTTTTTTTGCTGCGCGCACAGGGGTGATCGGGACGAAGGCTGGGCTTTAGATCCTGTGGATTCTGCATGCTGGCGCAGGCACTGCCTTTGGTCTGCAAGGAAAAAGAGCCTGAGCAGAAGCCGGAAGAAGCCATGAGTGTGGCTTGGCCAATGCAATGTACGATGCCTGCCCTGGGTGGTTTCTAGAACTGACGTGCTGCGGCGAGTTGTCTCGTACGCACAGAACCATGCAGGCCCCCAAGAAGGAAGTTTCTAAATCAATCTGCACAAGCTCGGCCTGGGCCCTCGTGATTTCTTCCTGAGGCCAGCGAGCTGGAGCGAAAGATTGCACTCGAGAAGGCGCTACGTTCTGTGTCATCCGATGGTAGCGCAAATGTGTGCCCAGCCTTTGGAAGAAGTTCGACGTACCATTTCCGGCCAGGGCTGGGGTCGATTGTCAATTGAACTCACAGAGATCTTTGGCCGCTGTAGACCGGGACTGAAACAGAGCAGATAGACGGACAAGCAAAGACTGACAGACGGACATGCAGCCGCATGTGTACATCAAAGCCTTGTCATTGTTCTCGTCCAGAAGGCAGCCCGCGAAAATGCATGAAACATCATGAAACACATCAGCAGCATTGGGTTCAGGTAGCCGCCAGCTAGCCCACTCCAGGTGACGTTGAAAGGGATAGTTCTCCACAACTCCTCTCCCTGGGTGGAGATCCACCCCCGCCGCTGCAAACAGAGGGCGCCGGACGTGCCACGCGCTAGATCCTGTCACGACCCAGAATATGTGCCAAGACACTGGCCCAAACCACACTGGCCACCAACATTCAACATGGAGCAAAGCTGGCGCGTGCATTTCTAGTCGTCGTCGTCCTCCCGTTCCTCTTCGTCGTCACAGTAGTAGTGGCAGTGGCGGTAGCGGTAGCTGTAGCGGTAGCAGGAGGAGGAGTTGTCGTCGCAGGTGGTGGTGGTGGTGGTGGTGGTGGTGGCGGCGGCGGCGGTGGTGGTGGCGGCGGCGGTGGTGGTGGCGGTGGTGGTGGTGGTCTTTAGTAGTAGTAGCGGTAGCAGTAGCAGTAGCAGTAGCAGTAGCAGTAGCAGTAGCAGTAGCAGTAGCAGTAGCAGTAGTAGTAGTAGTAGTCGTCGTAGTCGTAGTAGTGGCAGTGGCAGTGGCAGTGGCAGTGGTCGTCGTCGTCGTCGTAGAAGTAGTAGTAGTCGTCGTCGTCGTCCTAGTCGTAGTCGTAGTAGCAGTAGCAGTAGTAGCAGTAGTAGCAGTAGTAGCAGTAGTAGTAGTAGTAGCAGCAGTAGCAGTAGTAGCAGTCTTAGCAGTAGCAGTAGTAGTAGTAGTAGTAGTAGTAGTAGTTGTGCAGTAGTAGTAGTAGTAGTAGTAGTAGTAGTAGCAGAAGTAGTAGAAGTAGTAGAAGTAGTAGTCGTAGTAGTAGTAGTAGTAGTAGTAGTAGTAGAGGTAGTAGCAGTGGTAGTAGCAGTAGCAGCAGGAGTAG